AATACTTAAATCATGTCATTTTATCAAAACTATAATAAAATAAAAATAACTTACAATAACATAACATTAAAATTTAATATTCTTTTTAAAGTTAATTTTCTTTTTAGAATAAAAACATAATTATTGAATAGAATATATTCAAATCTCTATATGTCCTTTGGTTTTCAATCAATAAATATTTAAATATTTAATGATAATTTTTATGATATCACTTTCATGGTATTAGGTAATGAAATAAAATGAATAGATGGTATTTAAGCATTTATTTACAATCAAATCAAATAACACAAAATATGAATACAATATAAATTAACAAAACAATAAGGTATGATGAAATTATTATGATATTAATTGAATAAAATGATGACTAGAAATAAAATAATGTTTATTTCAGTTAATTAACAATAAACAAAAGATAATTAATAAATATATTCGCAACTTGATTTTCTTTATAATGTTAAATATTTATTTTAATTACTTCAATACTCTTTTTATCATAAACTTAACTTCCTTTAAAGAATATAAAAATATAAAAAATAAAGAATAAAAGAAATAAAAGAATTAAAGAGGGAAAGAAGAACATAAAGAGTTGCAATGATGAAGAGTAAGATGAGATTGAATATCAGGATAAGAACCATCATTTGCAAAGAAAAATTTAGAAAGACTTTCATGGGCTAGATGGATATCAGTAGCAAGTACAGGAGAGTCATGATTAAGAGAAAAAGAATGAGAAGAAATCATCGAAGTAAATATTAAACGTTTTGAAGTATAGAAATAAGACCAATGTTTGAGAGCATCAAAAGAAGGAGTATTAGTACAAGAAGAAAGACCATCAACCCAAGGTTCAAGAATAGCAATTCTAGGAGAATTTAAAGAAAGAAGATCAGAAATTTTAAGAATTCTAGGGAGATTAATATCAGTTTGAATAAAAACACGTTGAGATAAAATAGAAATAGAAAGAAGAGAAAATTTTGAAGCAATGTATTTAGCAATTAATTGTTTTTCAACAGTATTAATTGCCCATAAAAGATCAGAATTATAAGATAAACGTCTTTCTTTAAAAGCAAAGAAATTATTATTAATTATAGGACATTCACATTTACTAATAAATAAATTCTTTCCTTTACAACAATCAGAAGAAATTAAAATAGTGCTTGGTGTTGTTAAATAAAAAGGAGGATGTTCATAAAATTCCCAACTTTTTTGATTATAAAAATAATTTTGTGGAATAGTAATAATATATCCATTAAGTTTTCTTGGAAATGGAATAATTTGATCAGGTGTTGATTTTTTAAATACAATACAACTAAATGGTTTTGATGCTAAAGATTTTGAAAATAAATTGTTCATTCGTATTTTCATTAAATCATTAATTATATTTTCATTATTCATTTTTAAATTAACTATACAATAATCATTTCCTGAATATATAAATTCTTGTATTATTTCTTCTTTATTATAGTCTTCTATTCTTTTATAAATACTTCTTGAAATATGAATTATCATTTTATTAATTATTTCTCCTTTATTAATTATTTCAATTATATCATATATATTTTTATTATCTTCTTCTTCTTCTTCTTTTCTTTTCATTTTTCTTTGAAATTCTTTCATTGTTTCTTCATCTTTAATTTCTTTTAAATAATTAATTCCTTTATTATCATATTTTATTATTTCAAATTCTTTTACTCCTATTTCTTTTATTATTTCCATTGTTATTTCATTTTCTTCATAAATAAGATATAATACATTCTTATCTATAGGAATTTTATCAATTGTGTAATATGGAATAATACTCATTTTATTTACTTGTTGAATTATTTGATTCATCCATATTTCATTTTCTTCCATTTTATTTCTTTCAAGTTCTTTTTTTATTTTTTTTTTCTTTTTTAAATGATTTTTCTATTTATATCTTATTTTCAATTCATCACAACTATCTTTTTCTATTCTTTTTCTTCAATAATTTCTGTTCATTTCTCTCTGTGTATTTCTTTTTTTTTAATTATTCTTTTTAAAATATCCTAAACAGTTAGTGTAGAAGAATTCTTTATCTACTCAAAATATAATTATTAATACAAAAAGAATTCATTTCAATCAATGAAATATTCATAAGATGAGATTCTTTTTTATTACTTATTATTTCTAGTATCATTTTATTTGTTTATTATTTTAATTATCATAATATTTTAACATTATTTCTATTAAAAATAAAAGTATCATCGAGATATAAGTATTAGATAATAATTTTCTTTTATTTTATAATAATTTTATTATCATCATTATGTTTAATATCATCTTTTTCATTTCTATTTTTTTTTTGATAATTTATGAATAAATCAACCAATATTTATTATATCTATTTAATTTCTATATATTTAATTTT